CAGGCTATAAAAGGCAAATACCTTTTGCAATGCACAGTGAAACAGAGATGTCAAGCACAGTTCTATGCTGACAGAAGCAAAAATTTTTGAGAATTAGGTTCAGAACTGTAGTCTGTTTTCCAATAACAGACATAAAATAAAAAGGTGTTTACAGGCAAAGTGATTGTCCGTGTAAACAATTCCACCCATACCTATCTCATTTAAATGTAGTTACCACGCGTGTCAGCCATTCATGTTTAACTTTACCACAACTCCTATGCTTAGGGTTGCATAAGCAACCCTAACTTTACCTGGAGGTCTCCCACTTTTACAACTGTTCTCCAGACAACGAAGATCTGTTTCCCTGGAGAAAATGGCTGCTTTGGAGTGTAGACTCTATGGCATTATACCCTGCTGAGGTCCCTCAGATGCAAATTCTAAAACTGGGAACCAGACCAATCCAAAATCTGATGAATAAGGACCAGAATCACCCTGCGCCAGATGAGATGACAATTTATCCATCAAGCAGAAATCAAGCACTTTGTCAAACCAACTGTCGATTGTGGGTGGGTTTGAACATTTCCAAAACTTAGCTATTACCATTCTTGCTGCAGCACATAGTTTCACTATTAATTCCGTTTGTTCCAGAGGAATTGTTTTCAAATCTTTATTCCATAAATTGAGCAGCAAAAAAAATCTATTCTTAATGGAAGTATATAACCAGTAATGTGATAAATTTGTTTTTGTACTTGTACCCAAAACGTCTGGATAACCCTACACTCCCACTAGCAATATTTTTATGTACCTACAGCTCCACAACCCTTCCAACAAAGTGCAGAGTAGTTTGAGTGCATATAGTGTGATTTTTGCAGTGTGAGGTCCACCTTGATAGTGTTTTAAAGAATTGCATTTTTATCATGGTGGCTTTTGATAGTTTTATTTGTATTTTTAATATATTGTGAGCCACCCTGAGGCCTGCATGCAGGGAAGGGCGGGATAAAAATCCAAACAATAAATAAAAAAATAAAATATTAAATGTTGTCTGCTAAATGTTGTCCCTATCTGTACCACAAGGTATAGATAGGGACTCTGGGGCAAGTGATGCTCTGTCATCTTGGTGCTTGGGGGGGGGGTCAACAGTGGGAGGGCTTCTAATGTCCTGGCCCCACTGGTGGACCTCCTGATGGCACCTGGTATTTCTGGCCACTGTGTGACGCAGAGTGTTGGGCTGGATGGGCCTTTGGCCTGATCCAACATTGGCGTCTCTTATGTTCTTATGTTCAAAGTAGGATTTTTGCTCACAAGACTCCACAGCTTAGAGGGAGCATCGCCTGTGGGACCTTCTACAGTTCTGCAGGCCTGTAAGATGGAGCTCTTCCGCCAGGCTTTTGGGTGAGGCAGCGGACATCAAATACCATCTGGCCCCTCCTGTTACCATCTGTTACAAGGTCTTCAATTTTCAGGGACTCTGAACCACAACCCCGCCTTGGTTTCACCGAGGATGGGGTATCATCCATCTGGAAACCCTTATGGGATTTAGCCCTCTCCGCTTTTAGCTGAATAATACCGGGACACCACGGAAGTCGCCTGAAGCCGTTTGAACGCTATCGTTTTAGGGGCTTAAGACTTTGACAGTTTTTAAAGTTTGATTTTATTGTTCTGTAACCAGTGCTGCTACCCGCCCCTGAGTCTGTTGGCAGGAAAGGCGGGATAGAAATCGAACCAAATCAATCAATCAATCTCCCTCCCAGATCTTTCGGGGAAAGTCGATAAATGAGTTTTGGTTCACACCAAGGTGCAGCCTTGGTGCAGATGGTAAAGCTGGGAAAGGAATGGCTTCAGCTGAAACTGGATAAGCCTCAGGGGCTTTATGACCTGCATCTTATTTCTCATCCTCTATGGTTGTGATATTAGGTAGTAGATTTGTGGGGGTTTCTTTACGATTTTTATTGACAGTAAGGGTGTGCCTGCCTTTCCAGGGCGGGTGGGTGGCTATCCTTCTGGGTCTCTTCCAGCCCAGTGGTTTCAGGATATCCAGAGGTCCTTAGGGAAGGGAAGGCCCATCTGCCCTATTAAAAATGGATGAGGACTTCTGTCCCACATTAGGTCACTCAAGAGTGACCGCATCAGCCAGGAACATGAGCATACGTTCTAGACAATATGGAATGGGGAAAGGAAGAGCTTGGAGAAACGACGGCTGAGGGGGTGACATGATCGAGGTTTATAAGATTATGCGTGGGATAGAGCAGGAAGAGAAAGAAGTTTGGTGTAGTGGTTAAGTGCGCGGACTCTAATCTGGGAGACTTCTTCTTCTACTACTTTTCTCCCTTTCTCACAATACAAGAACTTGTGGGCACTCCATGAAATTTCTGAGCAGTCGGGTTAGAACGGATAAAAGGAAGTCCTTCTTCACCCAAAGAGTGATTAACACGTGGAATTCACTGCCACAGGAGGTGGTGGCGGCTATGAGCATGGGCAGCTTCAAGAGGGAATTAGATAAGCATATGAAGCAGAAGTCCATCCATGGCTATTAGCCACAAGGTATAGACAGGAACTCTCGGTCTGGGGCAAGTGATGCTCTGTATTCTTGGTGCTTGGCGGGGGAACACACAGTGGGAGGACTTCTAGTGTCCTGGCCCCACTGCTGGACCTCCTGATGGCACCTGGTATTTTTGGCCGCTGTGTGACACAGAGTGTTGGACTAGATAGGCCACTGGCCTGATCCAACATTGGCGTCTCTTATGTTCAATGGGGGCAGCTGCCATCTGAGTCAAAAGAAAATTGGGGGGGGGGGGGAGATGAGATGCCATAGAGAATACTTATAGCTGAACGTCTTAGTCTTCTAGGTGCAAGAATGTTTTTTAAAAATGGAGGACCACTCCGTCATGTTAGCCACATCTGCAGGCCAAAGCAATCTATAGCAGAGCAACAAGATTTCCGCCTCCTTAATTGTCAGTGAGACATAAACCCTAAGCAACATAGGCTGTTTTCAAAGAATGTGATCCAGGAAACATCCCGTGTTAATGACCTGCACAAGTAAGAGCACCCCCTGCCTCCCTCCCAACAGCAATTAGCCCCAAGAAACAAAAAGAAATAAGAAATGGGATAGAGGAAAGGAACCGTTCAATTCATTCTCTCTGTATGGTCTTGTGAAGAGGATACCTGGCCCAAGCTCCCATCTTCTATCATGGTATCAAATTCATTGTTCATCACCTCTGCGAGGAAATCATCCACCTCCTCTGGCTCCAGGTCAGCTGCGGAGACATTGGACCAGGGGACAAACACCGTAAACCGAGATTTCAGTGATGTCAACGTCCCATCCCTAACCCACCCAAAGCCCAACCACCCTCCTTGAGTTAACAACACAGAATGGATTATTTAGTTTCATCTAAGGCGAACCTAGCCGTTCGAAAGCAAGAAATTGCAAGTAGATAAATAGGTACCATTTCAGTGGGAAGGTAACAGTGTTCCGTGCGCCTTGGTGTTTAGTCATGCCGACCACATGACCACGGAAACGTCTTCGGACAGCGCTGGCTCTTTGGCTCTGAAACGGAGATGAGCACCGCAACCGTAGAGTCGGATTCGACTGGCTTTCGAGCAAGGGAACCTTTACCTTTACGGCGTTTACTCTATAAACCCCAGAGTAAGTTTTAACTGTGATCAATAAATACTAGCTAGTTGAACTCCGATTCTTCCATTCATACAAGATGGTTGCTAACCCAACTGAATTATTAGAAAACATGTCACAAGTTTTAAATAGTTAAATTTTAGATAGATGCACTGAATAGAATATCAAAAATATTATTAATGTTGAATAGTTTGTATTGCTTGGGATTCTCTGTATCAATCGTTTTATATTTATTTAATTAAGATTATTAAAATAAAAAAACACACAAAAAAAACACAAGCCACATCCTGGCCTCCAACATCCCAGCTGCAATCACCGAACCTTACTTCCCTGCTAGAGCTGGGAGCATGAAACATGAGTCCTTGATGTGGCTAAACCAAAGCTTCTGCAAGGATCCATGGTCCGAATACTCCGATTGTTGGATGAAAGGTCCAGCTTACGCGCTTTAAACTTTCAAAAGTGTAATTAAAAATGACACTCCAGGGTCTATTTTGCCTCTCTTATGCTTCGGGATAGTTAGAAGAAGTTTCTTTTTTTTAGGGAGGTTTGCTATGCAGTAAGATCCTGATGCATACGGAATCGACCCAGCAGTGCCACAACACTAGCTTCCACCATGACACCAAATGAAATTACAGGCCCCTCGTGGCACACCACCTAGGAAAGATCCCAGCCAAGGTTGGGGTTCTAACCACAGATATTAACATTTCCAGAAATGCTGAAGTATCGAGGGGCAAAAAAACTGGTTCTGCCTCAAAAAAACTGACATCTGGGAGGAAAATTAAAATATATGCAGTATTTACTTATCAAGTAAAAACTACTGCTTGGACATCATCATCTATCGAATTCCCATCATAGCCACACAGAAAAAAAATCCACACAATGAAGCCATACGGAATTAGAAAAATCTAAAACCTATAATTAAAAACGTGGGTGGTTAAAAGCATGCAGCTCACTCCGAAACGAAACGCTGACAGAGATCTCCGAACCGGCAACAGTAGGGACAGGGGGAGAGGAATTTCCCCTCCCACACAAGTTCTCAGAGGTCCACAGATTGTGGACAGAGCTAGTCCATAATGCAACCCTGAAAATATTGTACATGTTTACAGAGGAAATATACTTTACTAGTGTGATAGAATATCTCACATAAAAATCTTCATTCTAGACCAGGGGTGGCCAAACTTGCTTAATGTAAGAGCCACCTAGAATAAATGTCAGATGTTTGAGAGCCACAAGTCGTGAACAAATATTCACACACACGTTTTTATTGGAAAATATGCAAATCTGCTTTTTATTGACATTAAATGAGACTGCCAAAAATAAAAACAAAAGGGGTAAAACAAATATTGATAATATTTTTGTCCAATTATATTTGAGTAAAACATATATATATAATGATATATATTTGTAAAATGATATATATTTGTGTAGAGAGAGAGAGAGAGAGAGAGAGAGAGAGAGAGAGAGAGGTAGAAAGAAAGAATGAAAGAGATAGCGAGAAAGAGAGAAACAGAAAAAAAAGCAAATAGATGGGAGGAAGAGAGAGAAAGATGAAAAGTTTCTTTCTTTCTCTGCCTCAAGCCTACCCAGGCAGAGGAAAACTGGATGGGGAAGGGAAGACCGACTCGGGGGGGGGGGCATGCCTCCCCTTCGCTTCCCCAGCCGCCCTGCTGGGAGCCGCACAATATGTGTGAAGAGCCACATGCGGCTCCCGAGCCAGTTTGGCTAAGCCTGTTCTAGACATTCTGAGAGAATAAAACCTTGCCTTAAAAAGGACGTTTCATCCCCGCTCCTCCCAGCGAATTAACTCCCCCAAAGAAGCCTTTTCCCTCCTGACTGTTTCCTGGACCTCCCCATCTCTGACCATTTGCATCGTTCTGAATACAATCTGGTCCTCAAAGGGGAAACAGTCCGGGCCCCGAGGAGTCTGCAGCCTGACTCGATAGGAGGTTCTCTCGTTTCGGTACCTCACCGTTGCTCTGGAAGTACTGCTCCACGGCCCCCACCATCCATTCAGCTTTCTCTTGGCTGTACGCCCCGCCAAAGCCATTTTCCACTGCAATCTGCGAGAGAGGAAGATAAGCCTACCGTCATTTATAGGAGCTGGGAAGGTCTGTGAGAGGCAAGTTCCCAAGGGAAAGCTATCTTGGTATAGTACAAATGCATGACCCGATTGCTCAGAGTTAAGACAGACGTTTGGTGTAGTGGTTAAGTTTGGTGTAGTGGTTCAGTGTGTGGACTCTTATCTGGGAAAACTGGGTTTGATTCCCCACTCCTCCACTTGCACCTGCTGGATGACCTTGGGCAAGCCATAGTTCTGATAAGAGCTGTTACTGAAAAAGAGCAGTTTCTGTCAGAGCTCTCTCAGCCCCCCCTGCCTCCCAGGGTGTCTGTTGTGGGGAGGGGAAGGGAAAGGAGTTTGTAAGCCACTCTGAGACTCCTTTGGGTAGTGAAGGGCGGGGTATAAATCCAATCCTCCTCCTCCTCTTCTTCTTCTATTTTAAGAGGGGCAGAGGCGATCAGATCGTTCCTCCATTGTCCTGAAGGACACACAAATACCTTTTCAGTCTGGGGTTGAGTTCTGGGAGAAAAGAAGAAACCATTCTACACGCCTTTTTGGGAAGAGCCAATTTCTCATCCCCTAGTGATTGACTTAAAGCTAGGATGGACAAGTTTTATTGGCTCGCATTAGAAATAAAACTACCAACCCGCTCTCGAAGAGCCAGTTTGGTGTAGTGGTTAAGTGCACGGACTCTTATCTGGGAGAACCGGGTTTGATTCCCCACTCCTCCACGTGCAGCTGCTGGATGACCTTGGGCAAGCCATAGTTCTAGTCAGAGCAGTTCTCGAAAGAGCTCTCTCGGCCCCACCTACCTCACAGGGTGTCTGTTGTGGGGAGACTCTGAGTGAAAAGGCGGGATATAAATCCAATCCTTCTTCTCCCTCCCCATAACAAAATCTATGTAAGAATTAAAATACACTTAAACATGTATGCACTTTTTAAAAACGCAGCCTGCTGTTTATGGCGTCAAGATCAATGGCTTACCTCATGTGCTAATCCATCCACTGACTTGCTCGTATGTATATTTTTACATCTAGTTACAGACAGAGCTGTTTTCACACTGGCTTCAACTGGTCGAAAAGATGCTACGCCTCGCTTCATCTCTGCTTACTCCAAAACTCCTGTTCACATATGAAGAGTCATCCAGAAATTCCAGCAGCACTAATCTTCTCCCCATGATGTGTATCACTTGCACACAGCTATATAATGAATTCGTACTCAAATGTAAGGCCTGCCACTCAGTCATATATGTCAGTGTAGTTGAATGTCACATATGCTTTGATACCAAACCTAATCTTTTCGCTAGTCATTTGAGGAGAGGCTGTGGCTCAGCAGGAGAGAGTCTGTTTGGCATACAGGTTCAATCCCTGGCATCTCCGGTTAAGTGGATCGGGCAGTAGGTGATGTGGAAGACGTCCGCCTGAGACCCTGGAGAGCCACTGCCAGTATGAGTAGACAATACTGACCTTGACGGACCGCTGCTTTGATTCAGTATAAGGCAGCATTGTGTGTTCAAGTATTGACATTCATGAACAGAGAGCTGAAAAGTATATTATCTGGGAGCTATATTTGTTATGTCACATTAAAACATTTATAGATTTGAGGCATCTGGACAGAAAAAAAATTACAGATGCCTTGCATTAAAGAACGCTTTCTCTATGAAGGAAGGTTAAAGCGCTTGGGGCTCTTTAGGTTGGAGAAACGACGGCTGAGGGGTGACATGATCGAGGTTTACAAGATTATGCATGGGATAGAGCGGGTAGAGAAAGAAGTCGTTTTCTCCCTTTCTCACAATACAAGAACTTGTGGGCACTCCATGAAATTGCTGAGCGGTCGGGTTAGAAACAGATAAAAGGAAGTCCTTCTTCACCCAAAGAGTGATTAACACATGAAATTCACTGCCACAGGAGGTGGCGGCGGCTACAAGCATGGATGGCTTCAAGAGGGAATTGAATAAACATATGGAGCAGAGGTCCATCAGTGGCTGTTAGCCACAAGGTCTCGATAGGAACTCTCAGTCTGGGGCAAGTGATGCTCTGTCTTCTTGGTGCTTGGGGGGAGCAACAGTGGGAGGGCTTCTAGTGTCCTGGCCCCACTGATGGACTTCCTCAGGGCACCTGGTATTTCTGGACACTGCATGACACAGAGGGTGCGTTCAGACGTGGCCTTTCTGCCGGCATAAACGCGATCATTCCCGCCTGTCGGCGGAGGCCTCCGGTGGACGCCCGCTCACACGCTGCGGGCGTCTGCGTGTGTTTTTTTTTTTTAAAGGACAGTTTGAGCATGCGCATAGGCAGCCATTCAGAGAATGGCGATTTTTGCGCATGCTCAACCCCCCCCCCGTACATTTAAACTTTAAAGGTAAGCACTTACCTTTAAAGTTTAAAGCCCAACCTGGCCTCCCTGTTGTCCCGGACTCCTCCGGGAAGTTAAAATAAGGCTTCTTTTTTTTTACACAAATGCTCAGGGCGAAGCTTCACCTGAGCACATATCGCTTCCTTTAAAAAAAATATATGGCGGGGGAAAGCCGGAAGCCTCAGGCTTCCGACGGAAGTGTCTCTGTAACGGAGGAGAGCGATCAGATGTCGGGGTGCACCGATTACAACCGTTGCACTCTGTTTACCACCACTTCGGACCTAGTGGCAGAGTGCAATGGTTTAAAGGGATTTACAATGGTTAGGGAGGGGAGGCAGATGTTTGCCGTCTGAACGCCCGTAAGTACACCTGTTGGAACCGGCACCCTAACCGTTGTAAATCCCCCGTCTGAACGCACCCACTGATTGCTTACTTGATCCTTGTGTATCCTGGGCTGGATGAACAAGCTGATGGAGAAGGCCATAATTGGACGGCTTTTATGAAAGAAACTGTCATGGAAATACTGAGCAACTACATCTGACCTAAATAACAGTTGTGTTTTACCTGAGGTGAGGAAGGAGAGGGTGGAGAAAAAGGGAGGGAGAGAAGAAAGCAGAGGTCTGAGGGGACAATGGGAGTAAGAGGCAGGCCTGGGAGAGCCGGAAGGACACCAGTGGGATTTGTGGATTTGGATTCCTGCT